GATTTGCACCCTAACACCTATCCCATTCAGTACACAAAATTCATTATGCTATACCATATTTATCTCTTAAAAAATGAAAGAAAAATCTGAAATTAATCACAATCATTGTTTATTAAGTCCCATTTCTTACAGCAGTTATGCACAATACACACACACATATATATACTTTGTTTTTGCAGCATATCAATTTACATAACCAATTTATACTTCAATTATATATAATTAGCAAATTAAAGAAACACGTTTAGACATCACAAAGTTGTCACCCAACTGGTCCAATTTTATATCCTTGCTAGTCATTTGATTTTATATACAGCACTAGGACAATTATTTATTTATTTTTCCAGCCACTAGGACAAATGGGCGAAGAATGACTAAAAATCGAAAGAAACATTTGTGTTTTGGTCAAAATAAGTATAAACAGTAGCTTAAAAGAATAAAAATCTTTTGATTTATAAATTATAATTCTTTGAAATTTTTTTTGAGTCCGGTCGCTAAGTCTGAATATTAAGTATGAATCATAGTTCAAATATTTCTTAATCTATATGTTTGGTATGCAGGCTTTAATTATTTAATACAAAATATAAACTATGGTACATCAGGTTTCCAAATTTTAATTGACTACCTGATCTAATAAGAGTATCAGACCACTAGAAAAAAAAAATAATAACAATAATAATAATATTTCCAGCATTATGGGTGAAATGCAGCTAGGGACAATGTCATAATTAAACAAATGGACAGTGTTAATTGATTTTAACTTTAGTTTACACTGTTAGGAGACAATGGTTTGCAGCTGTAAAGAAATTACACCCTCGAACATTAAATCAACATTGTTTTTGACACTTTCTGACCGAAAAAAAATTATAGATGCAAATTTCATTTCTTGATGGAGAGGAGTCCTCAATTTGGTCACTCAAATATAATATTCTTTCTATATGTTTTTTTGAGTCAATGGGGGCAAATTATAAATCTTTGGAGCACCTTTTGAATTTAATTTGAGTGGGTATAAAATATAAAATAAGAAAGTTAAAGGGCTTGGAGTAGATATGAAAATGTTTTAACGGTGCTTAGATTGAAATAAAGGAAATAGACGGATTAGAACAAATAATATATATTATATGGTGACAAAGAAAAAAGAAAAGAAAAGAAATGAGAGGCAACGTGTAATATCCCAAGGCTTTCTTGTGCACCCAATATTCTGCAAGTGCGACTAGATTGTTCAACAAATCGAACCAAACTCTATAAAAAAAGGTTTGGGATATCTCAAGATAGATATTCACTAGATTTAGAAAAAATATACATGATATCAACCAATCAAACCCAAGCCTTTTGGAAATTTGAATTATTGTTTTCAATATTGTTAGAAGGTACTAAGATGGGTTGGCGAAGTGTGTTGTGGTTAAGGATTTGGTATGGGAAACATTTTTAAATTAATAAAAGATTTTTTAAAATTTTAGACATGTCCGTAAAATATGGGACATGTGTCCATAAAGTGACCTCATGTTGGTGCTTCTTTGGTAACTAATAAATAGCCCGCCATACATGAAACTTACTATTCCCTATGTCCCTTAGCGCAAGTGATATGGCCAACACAAGTAATCTATGAATTTTTTAAAAAATAGGGTGCCACGTAAGTTAAAAAATAATGATATAATGCTCTACTTTTTTTTTTTTTATGCATATGTTCCATGGTGTGGAACTCAATTATCTCATTCTCTATTTATTATTTTATTAATTTAATTTAAAAATAAAATCAAAATTTTGAATTTAAATTTAATAATTTTTTGTTTTCTTCTTAACGGCTATATTTGCAACGGCTATATTTCAATTTCTATATATAGCACTCATTCTATCTTCTTTCAATTATGAAATCCACTTCTTTGCATTCTCAAATTTATTATTTGTTATTTCAATTTCTATATAAACCACTCATTCTATCTTTTTTTCAATTCTATCTTCTTTCAATTATCAAGTCCACTTCTTTACATTCTCAAGCCCATTCTCTATTCTTTGAGTCTTCATATTTCTTATACAAAAAAACAGTGGCTTCATCGTCACGAGATGTAATACCCCTAATTTAACAAGGATAGTTCTGGAATTTATTTAATTATTGAAATTGTGTTTTTATTTATTTAGTTGTGAATTTGTTGATTAAGTGTGACTTTATTTGTTTTTATTTATTTAGTGGTGGTTTGTGAATTAATTAATTAGTTATTTAAATTGTGTTTTTTTTTATTTATTTAGTTGTGAATTTGTTGATTAAGTGTGACTTTATTTGTTTTTATTTATTTAGTGGTGGTTTGTGAATTAATTAATTAGTTATTGAATTGTATTTTATTTTTCTATTTTTTGTTAATTGAACTTAGGGTTTTGTTTTATTTTTCTTTAGCCGACTTAGTTTCCTGTCTAGTATTAGGACTAGAATTAGGGTAACCTTACTCCTATAAATATATACATTAAGATTTACTTAGGGTTTTAGAACTTAAACACGTCGGTGGAGGCAGAGAGAGAGAACAGAGGAAGGCTTACAGTAGTCGGAGTTCGCCGGAGAATTTAGGAAGCAACGGTGCAAGGTTTCAAACTGAGACCTAAAGGCAAGTTCTAATCCTCACTCCTTCCCATTGCCTCGTGTTCTTTGCATGTCTAACACAATTCCAGGGAACTGTTAAGGATTAAAATTAAACTGGATTTCTTGTACCTATGTTGTTTTAAAACTGATTGTAGTTGAAACGTGTGTATTGTTTGTTTTAATTTCTTCCTTGTGTAACCTCTGTTTAATTCGTGTAAACTGATGAGTAATGATTTTAATTAGTTCTATAACATGTTGGGAAGCACTAGAATTAATTTAGGTTGCAAGTTTGATTTGCTACAACAGTCGATGCTCCGAAATGCTTAAACTGCTCGTATTAAACTCTTGATGCAAAATTCATGTTTTAATTAATTTTAGTAACTGAACAATGAATTTAGTGAATTCTGGAATAAGTTGGAACCTGATTTAAACACTTAGGAACCCTAGGTATGAAGGTCAGTTCATCAGAAACTCACCGGAATTGAAAATGATGAAGAACAGAGAGAGAGATGGCTTACTGTTTTAAAGAGCAGGCTCTTCCGGACGAAGAGCAGGCTCTACTTTTAAGTAGAGCCGGCTCTAGGGGTCTTGGAGCAGGCTCTTCTTCTAGTAGAGCCGGCTCCAAGATGGGAAGAGCAGGCTCTTCTTTTGGTGGAGCAGGCTCTTCCCTCGGGTGTGCATTTTTTTAATTTTTCTGCGACTGTGTGGGCTACAAAACTTGGATTTTGGGATTTTCAGTTTATGTTGGAAGCTATACTGAGGTGTTTAGTGGTGGTCTAAGCTTGATTAAAATCCTTGAGAGAAGATTTATGCAAAATAAAACAACCTTGTTTTAGTGCGACAGTGGACAATGCTTAATTAATCAGTTTACTGTGTTTTTGTTATGAAAGGATGCAGAATTGCTTAACACTTAGAATAGCAATTCTTAGTAATAAAATTCTCAATTAAACCTATCCCAATGTTATAAAATAAGCGTGTGGATTTAAATGGCTTAGTATGCTTATTTGGGCCTAAGTTGGTTTACAGTTTGCATGGGAGGAACTGCAAGATATTTAATCTTTGGTATTAAAATTCTTAGTGATGATTTACGGTTAGTCATGTTCCAGAATTACTAAAAATAAACCTGTGAACATTTATATTCTATTATGGTTGATTAGAATTAATTGGTTTACATGTATAACTTGTAATATCAATTAGTGGACCTTCCAGAGTAGTATGGATTAAGCTTGTTAATTGACAATTATTTTATCATGCTTAATATGGAATAATTGATATTTGTACTTAATGTTTTATTGTCAATTGTGGAATGTATGGATTGGTTGATAGTTATATTTTTATTTATTCTATTAACTGCCGGATGGATTGGATTGTATGCACCGGTATGGGACGGTGACATATTAGGTTTGGATTTGGCTCAAAATTGCTATATCCTACCTATACGGAATAAGGGAATGGATTAAAAATAAATCCTACTTATATTTAGGCTAAGTCAAAGAAGCTGCACAAGCTGAATGACTAGCTGGATTACTGGTTATCTAGGTTAAGTCTGTGCAGTTGAATAAGCTGAACGACTTACTAGATTTATTACGGATTGTTATGAACGAATTTTAAATATATGTTTATGATACCACGAGAGGAGCTTGAGTCTCAGACTCGTTGGTTAGGGTGCGTATATGCAGTAGATGCGTAGCTGGCTATAGTAGATTGGGGTGTACCCTATTAGGTCTAGGTACTCATGCCCACCTTTGGGTGCGTTTTCGCATATTGCCTTCTATTCAGGTTGAGACCCCTACTGTAGTCCAGTAAATGTCCCTTAGTATGGATATATATATATATATATATATATATATATATACACGACTTATATAGTTATTGTTGAGTTGGTTAGAGTGTATATGCGTATCGAGTCTCTGTTTGGATTGTAGTAGGTTAGAACTTGTTCATGAGCCTGACCCACTCTTATTTTCCAGGTGTACGTCAGTTCCAGGCTTGAGCTTGTTCGTGCTGGGCAGAGAAGATCTTCCATTTTACCGACGATGTAGGACTTCTTTCCAGATATTTGATTTGGATTTTATCTTCAGTTTACTTTCATTTCAATTTGGTTTTAGGGGTCCACTGGAGATGGATTCCCGAGTTGTTAACTTACGGAGGTTTTGAATTATTGGGATTTAAGTATATTTAATATTAAAGGTTTTTATATTTACTTTTCTTTCAGCTTAAACTTTATTTATCAAATTCATTTTGTCATCTGTGTTCGTATTACATATTAATTGTTTGATATTTCCTTCGGGTTTGGGCTTGGGCCTGATCAACCCGTGTCTCGGATCCGAGGGGTATCACACGAGATATATCCGTCTCTGAGTCTATTTCTCCATTGAATTCGTCAGATTCAGATGGGGAAGATATTTTTGAAATCCATCGAAAAAGGATGAACGATGTGAGCAGATTATTATCGCCTGATAGGGTGCGGGCATTCTTTCAACCTCGTAAGAGAAAGTATATTAAACGTAATCAAGAGGAGGCAGCACAACGGCTATTCCGACATTTCTTTGCTGAAAATCTGATTTATCCACCAAACATATTTCGTAGAAGGTTTTGGATGCGACGAGAGTTGTTTCTTTGCATTTTAAACGGTGTTACAACATATGACGAATGGTTCATCCAGAAAATGATTGCTGCAATCCGTATACTCGCATATGGAATTTCAGCTAATCTTTGTGACGAGTATATAAAGATTTCTGAGCGCATTGCGATCGAAAGCTTGAAGAAGTTTTGTGATGCTATAATTGCTATGTATGCGGAGCAGTACCAACGCTCACCAAATGCAGATGACATTGCACGTCTGCTTCGAGAAGGAGAAGAGAGAGGTTTTCCAGGTATGTTTGGCTCTATAGATTGTATGCATTGGGAATGGAAGAACTACCCCACAGCATGGCATGGCAAGCACACGGGAAGAAGCCATAAACATACCCTCATATTGGAGGCCGTTGTATCGAAAAATCTGTGGATCTGGCATGCTTTCTTTGGTATGGCTGGTTCACACAATAACTTGAATGTTCTCGATCATTCCCCAGCATTCAAGAGTATGATCAATGGTTCAATGCCTCCAGTTAATTAAATGGTGAATGGGCATCGGCGTACAATGGGGTATTACATATCTGATGATATATATCCTAAGTGGGCAACTTTGATGCAGACCATCCCGCACCCAATAATAGTCAAAGAGAAATTATTTGCTAACAAACAAGAAGCTGTTAGGAAGGATGTAGAACGGGTGTTCGGTGTGTTGTAGATGAGGTGGACTATAACGCATCAACCGGTACTTTATTGGAATACAGAAGATCTAAACAAAATAATGAGAATGTGCATCATATTACATAATATGATCATTAAAGACGAGGGTGAACACATTTTGCAATGGACACCTCCGACAGATGACCCAATCTCCCTTCCACATTACGTTCGAAACCCATTAATGTTGGCGGTACACATTTCCTCTCGCCTAAGTAGGATTCGCAATAGATCAGACAGTACCGATCTTAGGAGAGATCTCATGGAACATTTGTGGAATCAATTTGGTAATGAAGATGTTTAAATTTGTTGTAGTAGAATAAAATGTAATTTTCATATTGCTGATGAATAAACAATATTTTAAAATTTTGTTTTCGAACGCCTAGAATTATGTTGGGATTGAGAAGGTTGGGATTGAGAATGTTGAAATGAGAAGGTTAGGAGTGAGGTGGTTATAACTGAGATGATTGGGATTGAGATGGTTGGTATTGACAAGGTTGTAATTGGTAATGAGATTGGAAATGGGGATGTGGTACGGGTTGGAATTGAGTAGGTTGGAATGAGAAATAAGAGTATTGGGGTTAAGATGGATTTTCGGATTGAAAAAACATTGAAGAATCCACATTATAATTGGGTTGCGGTGGTAATTTGGAATTATGAGATTGGTTGAGATGGGGGTTATAGAATGGAGGTTGAGGATCCATATAGATGAATGTTAAAAAAAAATATTGAGAGAGAGAATTATTAAAGGTGAAAATTATTGAAGATGAAATATAGTATTTATAAGCTAAAAATATAACCGTTTATTATCGTTTGAATTTAATGGAACGTTTGGAAGTAAATTGACCCATTGCTACCTTTTGCTTTTTTGCCTTCAATCAGATTCATTAAACAAAGGAAAAAAAGAATGGAGTATACTCCACTTCTTTCACCACACCACCTATTTCTCTCTCCTAACTGACACATTTTTACTCTAAACATAATGCCGCCCCGGATGCTCTTACATCCCTTATTAGTTGTTCATATTTGATTTTATAACTTTTTAAGGAGACATGTTGTGACGTTTCCGATTTTCAGCGTTTTTCATTTTTCAAGAATTTTGTCGCCACAAAGGCATTTTCGTCTTTTCACATTTTTCTTGCCGGACATTATGGAGTGTACCGGTTGTGTCCTAGAATTTGTTTGGGGCATTTCATTGAGTCCAGGACTCTTTGAAATGTAAGGGTGACTATTTTTACATTTTTCAGCTTTTCGAGCCGGACGGTCCCGTGTGGGACCCGCTACCGGAATTGTCAAGCATAAGGATTTTAATTGGATTCATTTGCATCATATTTATTTTATTTAATGTGTTGTGTATGGTTAGAATTTATGTGTACATATAGGTATGTGGTGAGAATTAAAGGGCAAAAGAAAAAGAAAAATTATAAAAGAAATGGGTGGGACCCACTACCACCATCTAAATGACTTAGAGACCATATTTTTGGTCTCAAAATCTCAGTTCTCCCGTAAGTCTCTCTCTCATCTCATTTCCTTGCATTTTTCTTTCAATTTTACAATCAAACTTCAAGCTATGATTCCATCTTCATTATTTGCCGGATTTAAGTGCCATTTGAGACCAAACGGAGAGCACGACGAGCTCTACGCATTGATACCAACAATTTCATATTTGGATCTCCCTAGCAACTTCTAAAATTTAGGCCATTTTGAGGGCTTTGCGCAATTAAGAGGTAGGGGCCCTTAATCCATGAAATCTTGTACCTTAGTGAGTTAATTCCCTCTAGAGGTAATGCCATTTTGAGGGCTTTGGTAAGTTAATGTAACCTAGAGGGAATTAAGGAGATTGCCCTAGCGTGGTTGAGCTATTTGGGCCGCACGATGACTCTGCGGAGTCACCAATGGTCTAGGGACAGTAGCCAATCCTTCTCTCGGCGCTGAGGGGGTACCAAAGGGGGTTACATTAACGGTTTGAAAGTGATGGTTTTGAAAATGGGGAGCGACATCGGCATGCATTGCATCCCATAGCATTCTATTGTTTATAATGAGACTTGTTATTATGTTGTGTTATTCCGACAATGTATGATCCCCATTCCTATTGTCCTATTCTTTGGTTAGATTCACGGGGACACAAGAGACGTGTCTTAAGTGTCACCTACTGAGCATATTGCTCACCCCATCATATTCTACATTTTTCAGGTCATGGAAAAGAAGTAGCTAACGATAATCCAATTTAGCCTTATCTTGGAGTAGAGAAATGCCTATTTTCCTATCTTTTATAAATGAACCTAATTTTGTAAAGTACTAACTCAAGGTGTATTATTTTTGTAATGTGTGTTGTATTGAGGTTCATTGTGTATATGGTTATTTGAGATAATGTAATTAAGTTTTACTCACTCAAAATCAGTTTGTGTATTTTAAGTAATGTGTGGCAAATTACGTTAAGAACGTGGTGATTGATATTGTAATTTAGTGTTGAAATGTACTTAAATTTGTACGTGAACGTAGTGACATGGGTGGTTAATTACCAAATGTTGGTGTATTTGGGTTATCACTGGACAGTGGGAAGTGGAAGTGAAAATTTCCCAGAATTGGTCCCCATACATCGACCGGTATCTTGGCAGAGTGGGTCATTATGGCATACGTTCCAAACCAGTCGACGTGTGGCTTCCCATACGTCGACCGGTATCACGTCCCAAACCAGTGGCTTCTCATACGTCGACTGGTATCTCGGCAATGGGTATTACCACTGTTCATAACCCAAACCAGTCGACGTATGATGCATATACGTCGACCAGTTTAGGTCATATATGTAATTACTATTTAAGTTCTTAAATTACACTTTGGCACCCAAGTGAGGTTACACGTAATTATTTTATGACCCAATAAATGCAATAATTATATTTTAACCACCGAAAGGACTATATTGCCCCGAACCTCATTTTTTATTTATTTATTATGGGATGCAAGTAAATAACCATTACATCATTTGGATCTTAATTTATTGAAATATGGTAATTTACCATCTTGCCCTTTTCGGACCTTGATATTTAAGTTTAACGTGAAATGACCGTATTACCCTTGGATGTTTTTGGGTCGGGTAAGGACCCGTTTAATGATTCGGATCCATGAGGAGCTGGGTCGTTACAAAATGGTATCAGAGCGATGGTTCGAAAACCTTAGGACGACAGGTAGAGGCCTATGTAGGATTGCGTGGGAGGTTGTTTGCATTACGTATGAGATTATTTGTTATGTGTCTGGATATTTAAAGAAGCATGCTTACTTGTTCATTTGCTTACCTGTTTAATTGCCTACGTGCTAATTTACTCACGTGATCATATGCTTATATGTTATATGTGTGTAGTACTAACTTAAATGATCCATAAATAGGTGTTATGTTTTCAATATGTAATTGTTTAGCAAACACGTTCTTATGTTGTATTAGCTCTGCGAGTTATCCTTTACGACGGGAAAGGTGTCAGTATTGTGAGCATAGGTGATGTGAATAGCATGATCTATTAAGTCCGATTTGTTTTAGACGTGTTGTTCCATTAGGAGTCTTTTTCCTAGAGACTAGTAACGGTGGAAGAGTTTGATCTTAGGTGTCTTCCGAGACGGAAGTTCCCATTTTTTTTGCAAGGGCGAGAGTTTGAGTTATGTTTCCCTTAGCATAGCTAGTGGACTCTTGGAATGATGGATTCGTATGGTATGGTGTGTGAGTCATGGGATCTTTTCATGTAAGAAAAGTTGATTAGATGTCACGGGATGTGAGGTGGTATGTAGTGCATAACTTGTAAGGTTCAGGTATTGAGCGGGTTGAGCAAGGTTTGTGTTTGGATTTTTATTTAGAAGTTTATTAATGTTTAAGATTACGAATTTGTCTCTTGGATTGCTGTTTTGGGAGTAAAAGTCGAGGTTGATCTTGAGTTGGCGATGAGATGAGTAGGTTACACCTTTTGTTATGATTTCCAATGAGGAAGGCAGAGGCTAAGTGTGATGTTGTTTTGTGACCATAGAGTGTTGGTCACAGATTGTGTTGAACCAGGATGAGGAGTGACCTCTTGGGCTTGGTGGCCTGTTCTATTTGATTTATTTGTTTTATGGCCTTGTGGGCGGGTGTGTGTGAGCGTGTGCAGGTGGCACCAGAAGGCTACCACACTGAGCGAGCTACGGGCACACAACTCAGATGAAATCAATGTGGACATTCCATTATGTTGGATAATAATTGTACCGATTGGCTGGGTAATGATAGTGTCGGGGGTGTAACAGTTGTATACCCTTTTGTTTGGTTGGATGGATCAGTTGTAGGTGACTTGAGTGTCCAGTTGGATACCAATTAAAGATTGTTGTTTTGTAGTTATCGTCTACTTCAGTATAGGTGATTGACCATTTAACGTAGTGTTTGTTTTCCTCCTAGGGACTGTTTCTGTAGTGTGCCACGAATGATTCTTTCCTTGTAACGGGTTGTTGACTATGTTGTTGGGTATCACGAGTGATGTATGTTCTCATGTCAAGTTAGCATCCCTTTTGAATGAGCGGTTGGTTTATGGAAGCTTATTGTTTCCAAGGGATTAGAGTTTGTGCAGTTATCTTGGGAATGATGATCATGAGGTGTTGGAACTTAAGGTTCTTGTATTGAAGAGTAAGTCAGTTTAGGGGTGACCTTAGTACTTGGAAAGAAAATGGTGATTAATTGCATCGTTGACAGATTTAGACAATTGGGTGTTAAGCATTTTAGATTTTTATGCTCATTTTTATTTTGAGGATTTGTCGGCATGACACTGCCTTATGGATGTTCTTTTCAAGTGGTAAATAGTGGTCGTTGTAAGAAGT